TATATATATATATATATATATTCTATAATTTGCATGAAATGAATATTGGATATTGCGTCAATGTCTTGAACATTTTATCTTACCAATGAATGAAGATGTATTTCGACATTTTCTATATATTTTGCCTCTCATTTTGATAATTGCAATAGAAAATCTTTTAAAAAAATTATTAAAACAAAGACAAGGGAACGCTTGTAAATCATTACACAATGAGCAAACTCATTTTCTAATTTACACAACCAAAGAATATAATTATTTAAAAATGAAAAAAATCTTGACAACATTTCAACTGTATCCTATTCGAATCATACGAAGATATCTTTTTCCTATCAATTTTTCTCTAATTCCCACGAAAATAATAATTATCCTAACATTCATTTCATGGAAAATGAATATATCCCATCCATGATTTTTAATTTCAAATAAAATCAATCGTAAAAGCAATCTCGCCGCATGTGTATTCCCCGCAAATGCGCCGATAACGATCGAAGCAATTTTTGCATTAAATGAATCGTTTGTCACTGGAAGGGATCGCGTAATGAACGTGGCGCAGGATACTACAGGTAAATAGATGAACAATAAAACGGGCAACGATTAAACGCAAAATGCGATACGGCGTATCAATGGCGTTTTGGGAAACGCGATTCCCAAGGATCGAGGCGTTAGTTTCCGCCTATATGAAATATATTCGACGATTCAAATTGTCCAAATGAATTTCGATTAATTAAAAGTGACAAACGTGCTCGGCCAAGATTATCGATGGGAAACTCTACAACGAACTCGAAACTCGAAGTGCACGCTTGCAATTTGACTTGCGAATTAGCGACGTTAGTTTCGTTTCCGTGTTAATCGACGAAATATTTCTCTTCTCAATTTTTATTATAGGAAATTTATTTGGAAAAATTTATTCCGTTTTGTTCGAACTTTAATTCGAATATTCGAAGGATGAATGATGAGTATTGTTCTTTGAGTCGATTTCTTTCTGAATACTATTCATCTTGAAAATTATTCAAATGGTTAAACGAAGTGGATCATATAAAATAGTAGAAAATATAAAATTGAAATAATTTATATCTTTTTCGCTATTTCGTTTTTATTTTTATATACGACGTATAAAAAATTAGTTATGACGATAAAGCTGTTTAGAGACTATAACTTAAGAAGTAAACAGAATTGTTCTCGTGTGAATACTATTTTTAAAACTTTTTTTTTTTATTATAATTATTTATGGTATATATCATGTCTCTGATATATAAAAATTGCTAGATAAAAATTTATAGCAATTTATTTAGACGAGATATTTCAATCATCGAAATTATTAAATAAAATACAATATGTTTCTTCAAATATCGAAAAATTATTCAATAACAAGAATTTTTCTCGTAAGAAATTTTCCAACAAAATTGTTCAAACCTTTCCACAAGGTTCCCTTGCTCGAGACGAAACACCAATATTACGGAAACG